GATCATTTATGTCTAACCAACCAATCATTTTGACCTTGGGGAAAACATATCTGTGGTAGATGTGATGAAATAATTAATTCATTATTTATAAATTTATAATACTTATAAACCTATTGCACAAAAGAAATCTTTCCTCACTTAAATAACAATAAGAACCATTTATACAATCTGTTATCACAGTTTGAACTCATAAATCTGACAGCGCAGTTAAATATTGGACACAAAATAATAAGGAATAACATCTATATTTTTTCCAGCATCCTAAAACTGTGAGAGGTCTTATTTAATAAATAATATCTGATCAGTTTTGCACCAATGTGACTATCAATAGATAATTAATACTTTATTTGGAAACCAAAAAAATGATTTTTAAAATTGAGCTTGCTTATCTGTAATCAATCATTCACACAGCCCTTGTGTAAGTGGGTAGCGGGTAGCAAAATGAAACAGAAAACAGAGAAATATAATTAGAATGCACAAATGAAACAGTTATCCAGGGCTGCCTTGAAGATGAAGCATGCAAAGCTTTAAATTATTGGTTTGAGATTGGGAAGGAATACAACATATATATTTTATTTGCAAAAATGTGGTTTCACATCTGTGCTATTTTTAACCACTACTTTCATGAGGTCCATAAATCACTTGCCAGGACCTGGTAATCTGGGTGCAGCTAGAAAGATTTCACATCTGTGTAACCCGGTAAACCCAACAGCTTGTTACTTGCACTATTCCAGTGATACAAAAACCTGTGATATATTTGCAACCGAGAAGCTTTTTCTTAGGATTATTTTTATTTGGATTTAAATTAATCATAACCAATAAGATAATCTCACATCCAATTATGAACAAAGTTGGTAATCTACTTTGTTGTGTTTTTTTTAGAAAAATTCTAAGACTTAGCATTTTATTTGTCTCTTGGACAAGAACATACTCCACTTGCTGAGGCATAACGTTGCTTCCCTGTCTCTGAATACAAACAGCTCGTAAAAAAGTGATCACCATTCAAAGTGACCATAGACCAGCCGAAACTAACAGCTGTGCAAAAAAGTTGGCATCACTCTGTTATAGGACAGCACTTCACATTGCGCATTATAAAAAGATAAGGGTGTATTATTCATTAATGCAGAAAAACAAGAATGCATCAAGAATGTTAGATATACTGGAATACCAAGACCTTTAATTATCAACTTCTACAAGTGCTACATTAGCTTCAATTAGTGGAAATAATCATCTTCTGCAACAATACCAACCATCCCACAAGGCAAATTAATTTATGCTAAGAGAAACAGACCAAGTATGACTAAACATTGTATGAGATAGACCATGAATATCAAAAATCAATTTTTGCATGAAATCCAGATCAATTTATTTGGTTAGATCTCACAGTTAATCCCTAGTAAATTCATTGAAAATGGTAATCATGTCTTCTATATCTTCCTACGTAAAAACTTTATATACAGCTATGCAGCTACTTGTCATTCTCTGTTTAAAGTTAGGTTCTAGATTGTTGATTCTGACAGTTGACTCTCTTGGCATTGAAGTCTGTTGTGTTTAAAACAAAAGATTGGATAAGTAGCCTCTCACCAACAACTCTCCCTCCATATATCAGCATAATCCTCTTCATTATTGTTCAATTATACATTTGACAGTATCATAGCTGAGGTCCTATGTCATAATAGGGAAAAATTATACAATGAAACAGAAACCCATGCATTACAAATAGCATTACTTAATAACTTCTGATATCATGAATTAATCTTGTTCTTATAGAGTCCTACAGGTATGATTTCTTTTTTCTCGGTAAGATACAGCTATTCTGTCTTTAAGAATAATTCCTACCATTCTTTTAGAAAGCAAGAAAAGGTTCAGAATCACGTAATGAATCCCAGTGTGATAAAAGGTGTGAAGGATCTGGATTTTCTGCTTTAGTTCTAACGAAGTAGCTTTGCCAGTCTTGGTCATGTTGTTACTAACAGTGGGATTTTCATCAAGCAGAGAGGGAACACTGGAGTCATCTACTGAATAATTCCAATTATTTTCATACTTTTTTTGGCAGCCAATTACATATTGGTGTTAGCTAAGACTGACATGGGTCCAGGTTTATTGTATTATTCAAGTAAGGGTGCATACATGACAAAATATTTAATAAATGGGAGGCTGGTCAATGAAAATCAATTTGTGGAATGTCAATACTTCACAAATAAAGTAATTAGCTTCCAATATCATGTGCAAATAATCTCTCTTTGTGAATCTGTATTCTGTGCGAAAATATAAAGCTTCTGCAGAATCGAAACATTGGTTGATGAAAAGCAACATAATTGAATGCATACAAAGCTAATTAATAAGGCTATGTTATGTACATAAGCAGTATGAAGGTAAAATAAATTGTTTTAATCTAAAGAATCAAAGGAATTAGATACTGGGGAGATATCAGTAAGATAATTAATTAACATCAACAGTCCAGTAGGCAAAAACAAGAAGAAAAATTAACTGGATCAAGGCACTTGTAACCAAAATGATGTAACACAAATCCAAGGGTTGACAATGAGTGAACCATGATTGGTATCATTTCAGCATGGGCAGAACTCTAGCATTATAGCCGGGATAGTCACACTTCACAGGAAACACAACAGTTGCAAGCCTGCTGATAACTAGCCTACAGCACATGAACCAGTGAACAAGTGAAGAGCATGTAACTCATTCACATGCAGAAAGGAAAGCTCAGGTGAGTTATTATTCTAGTTGTCAAGGCGTTTACCAGAGCAGATGAACTGAACCCTGATAATATATTCAGGGATGTTACAATCTCTAGAATCAGGGCTCACAGGCTCAAATGTAGCAAGGGGGAGGAGAGAGGAAGTTTTGATTTAACTACTTTCCACAAAAGGTAGTGAGTATGCTGAATGGACTGCCCAGGGAGGCAGTAAAAGACTGTGAAAAAATGTACACTGGATAGAAACTTGAAGTATGAACTTTTTGGTCCAGTCAGATGGATTGCAGAATGATTTCCAGTGTTGTACTTGCTTTTGAGATCAATTAGTTTTACCTTTCTCTGTGATAGATGATTTTTTCTTTGACTAAAACCAGCTTTTGTTTTATTTACTCTGTGCTCTGTTGCTAGAAGCCTGTGTGCATAATGGATGAGAAAACTGCACACCTACTTGCCTTGAGATCTGCTCTCAGCGGTTTCTTAAATGTCTCTTAACATGCATTCACGCTCACTTACTATAGCATACAGCCAAAAATGATTTGATTCAGCCTCAGAGAATATTCACAGAAACCACAGCTTGCATTTGATTAGTGCCTTTAATGTGGGAAAACATCCCAAGGCATTTTAGACTGTTAAATCTCAAGGATATTTACACCATCATAATATAAATGACATTGATATCGATTCAAATATGCAAATCAGGGCAGCAAGAATAAAAACAATGGAAAGCTACAGCAGGTTTACAACTTCTTACAATGTATAGTATTTATATATCCAACAATCTCAACTATGCTATTGCATTCCACTCTCCCAGTTGTCCATTACACATCTTAATTCAATCCCATTTTCCAAAAAAAGAGAAATCTGCATTGCAATATTGCAAGCTACACAAACCTCAATCAGCCTATACAACTAATAGAACCACTGGAATATTCTGTAACCCTATTCTGCATTAATTAGACTTCGCAATACACAGACTTTAAAATCAGGTATCCAAGTTTACAGCTTCAATTAAGTTTTTATTACCAGTAAGCAATATGGTTATTCCACTCTATATCTTGTTGATTTCTGCTACATGTAGCTTATTCTTATCTCCCGTGAAACGCTTCCCATTTGAAGCGGGTGGCTACTGCTGAGAAACGAGTGCTTAAACCCTAATACCTGTCATTCAGCAGAGTGGTGGGAAATTGTTATGACAGCGCTTTCGCAGCGTATTCATTGCTCATCAGGTCTATTAACTCTTCAATTACTCATCACACTTCTTGGTGTATTTTGTTCATTCGACTGAAGGAAAAGGAATCATTTACTTGGCTTCTCAGGGTATTTTGTCCGGGCGCACTGCAAAATGCTTCACATACAAGGAATTACTTCCAAAGTGCAGTTGCTGCTGCTGCTATGCGGCCTCATGTGGCAACTATTTCAAAACAACACGATCCCACAAAGAAACGAGGTGAATGAGCAGTCATTCTGTTGCTGAGTGGTGGTGGTTCAGTAAGAAATGCTAGCCAGCATATATCAGGAAAACTTCCTGCTCTCCCTCAAAAACGGTGCAGGAAATTTCCTCATGTCCATCGAGCCAGCAGCGTGCAGCTTCAGTGCAATGCCTCATCCAAAGGACAGCACTCCTACTAGTGCAATGGTTCCTTCGGAATGCAGTGGTTCAACTAAGTATTGGTTTGAAACCACAGCCTTCTGAGTTACAGGCAAAAAAATGCTACCAACTGAACCAAGCTGATGCAAAAAGAACAGAGAAATAAATGTGATGTCAAGAAAAATCTATAACGCACACTCGCTTTTTGGACCAGACCTTACAATCCATCATTAGCCTTGCATCTGTTGTGTTTTTGACTATTTTAATTATTTTGTTGCAAGGATATTTATTTGAAAAAACTTTCCACTTGTTTTGAATTCATTCTACTGCCCTTTAAACACACGCAAGAAGAAGACGTAAACCTGGATAACTTGGCACTCCAAAACAAACAAAAAAATTACACATCTGAAAACAAACGCATGTGGGCTCGTCTGAATATACACCCTCTCTGTCGGGAGAATGTCCGTATCTGCCACCACACGAGCATCGGACAAGAAGCTCTCGGCAAGTTTGCAATCAATTCGATGTGCATCCCATTCTGTGCGCTTAGCTTTAATTTCTATACACCCACACCGCACAAAGCAAAAACAAAGGTAACCACCCTTTTAGGCTGAATGCAAAGACACAAAACAGAAACACTGATTTAGTCCAGATTACTTGTCCGATTTCATTAAGTCCTTAAAGAAAAAGGAAGCATACCTTTCGAAAATGTACAGCTGAAAGCAACGCAGAATGTCACAGAACCCACATCTCAAGCCTCCAAGTAAAAATGGGCAGAGAGTAAATGTTTCATTTCATGCAGGCACAGCCAATTCTAGCATAGTCATTGCTTTTCTTCTGCCTCCTCTTCATTCGGAGCACCAGTTCAAAACAGAGCTTTTACTTTCAGCTTCACTCACAGCCATAAACAACCTTCATTCAACACAGCAGACTGCGACTGCTGTTGTTTTTGTTCAATGCACATGTGTCTGATCCAGGCTCCCACCCACTTGAATGATACACGCAGCGTTCACATGAGTGAGTGGCGCTGGAATGAGCAGAAGCCAACCTGCTGAAGGATGTCAGCATTTATGCAAACAAGGAGCACCACAGCTCCTTGCAATGTCTCATGCAATGTCTCCCGAGGTAATTGTTTTGAGGGCAGTTGCAGCTTGTGGGTCCGGTACTAACATTATTAAAAATATAATCTAGCCCAAAGTGTGTTGAGAATTATGCACGGTTCAGTGATTTACATCTAATGTTGCACAGTGAGTTTTATACTTGCATGTAAAACATGAAACATTTTTTGCGCAAATCAACAGGAGTAGATTAACATTTATACACCATCTTTAATAAAAAAATCACAGACATGTCACAGAGGGATGATGAAAATACAAGTAAAACAAATAGTGTTGTATAAAACCGTTCGTACTTGAAAGGGTTAAGTGACATCACCAAATAAGCTCCCGCCCATCAGGACATAAAGGATTGTTACTGGGAGGAACAAACTGGTTCTCCAAGTGTGGTAGAAAACAGTCTTGTACCTGTCGCAAATCAGACGTTTTAGCAATTCGATGTGAATCTATACTGCATTGAGCTTGATGTCTCCCATAGACCATCATGTATGGTAGATTGAAAATAGCTAACTATCAAGTAGTATATAATAAACCCATTTACTGTTTAAAAACCAAAAGAACTGCGGATGCTGTAAATCAGGAACAAAAACAAAGTTGCTGGAAAAGCTCAGCAGGTCTGGCAGCATCTGTGGAGGAGAAAACAGAGTTAACGTTTCGGGTCTGGTGAGTCACCGGACCCGAAATGTTAACTCTGTTTTCTCCTGAGCTTTTCCAGCAACTTTGTTTTTGTTCCATTTACTGTATATCCAGATTGGACCTAAGACATGCTTCCCCATATGTAATAGTCATTTAGATTCCATCAAGAAGGATTGATGGGTGATGAATCAACTCAAGACCTTCCAGATGGTTCCAGCATGGAGAGGTGATGGCCTAGTGGTATTGTCACTGAGACCCAATGTCCTGGGGATTGGGGTTTAAATCCCACCACAGCAGATGGTGGAATTTGAATTCAATAAAACAAAATTGGAATTAAGAGTTTTAATGATGACCATAAATCCATTGCCGATTATCGGGAGAAATCCCTCTGTTTCACAGATGCCCTTTAGGAAGAGACTACCATCCTTACCTGGTGTGGCGTACATGTGAGTCCAGACCCACAGCAATGTGATTGACTCTTAACTGCCCTTTGGCAATAAACGCTATCCCACAACACCCTGAAAAATCCACATTTACAGAATTGTAGTTACCATGGGCATCACTGCCTCATAAAACATGCCAGTAGCAGCAATATCCTGAAAAATGTTCAGCTGGACAAAAACAACAGCCATCTGAGGAGAAGAAACATGAAAAAAAAATCTAGTCAGAAAACTGAGTGCATCTTTAAATATTCAGCCATTTAACAGCACATAGAGACTGTCAACAACCAGGAATGTTAAAAAGGCTGCAGCAGCCATAGCAGCACTGAGGCTGCCTGGAAAAGCTCATACCAAACAGAATCAGTGAAAAATATCGAAAAAAAAACTGGCCAAGACCAAGCATTCTCACTGAAGCTGCAAAGGGGACAATCTGAATCAAAATCTCACCGTAAAACTGTCAATATTGGACACGCAATACGAGTTGGACCCTTAGAGGAAAAATTCAAGCTAAGGAGCTAAAATTTAAATGCAGTGATTGTACAATTTCAAAAACTGAATAATAAAATCAGCTACATCTACAAAATAAAATAAATGATCCTGAAACAGCTTTTACGCTAATCATTTAAAAAACTGCAATGACAATCAGGAAAGATATTACAATCCAAGTAGATTTAAAATCACAAATCCTTCAAACTGGGAATAGAACTGAATTGAATGGAAGAGACAAATTGTGCAATATGGAATAGCTTTGAGTATACACAAAAAACCTAGAGAAGAACAAGTCAATACAGTTCTTTACTGTGTAGATCTGGTTTCAGATCATGTACTAACATGAAAGGAGGTAAGATACAGATACCTTTGATAATAGTGTAAGAATATGTGATGATTACTTTTCATCAAGTGCCAATCATATAACGTAGAAAGCCAGTTTCACAGAACATACCATCCTGTTGGCAACTTTATTAATGAACTTTATAAATTTGTAAATATTGTGATTTATAACCACAACTCATTTCAGACAGAAGTTTCTGGAAAAGCTCGGCGGGTCTGGTAGCATCTGTGAAGAAAAAAATCAGAGTTAGCATTTTGTGTCTGGTGACCCTTCCTCAGAACAGTTCTGAGTTCTGAGGAAGGGTCACCAGACCCGAAATGTTAACTCTGATTTTTTTCTTCACAGACGCTGCGAGACCTGCTGAGCTTTTTCAGCAACTTCTGTTTTTGTTCCTGATTTACAGCATCTGCAGTTCTTTCAGTTTTCATTTGAGTCAGGATTGTTGTCAGAATTACTGATGCAACTCTTTTACATATGTTACAATCAAAAGAGATCTCACATTGGAAAAAGCTTCAAGATAGTGGCAAAAGCTAAAATCCAAAAACAATGCAAGAAATAATGGGAACAGAAAGCCAACCTAGTTCAATAAGCTCATCAAACTTTGTCAACTTTGTAAAGTACAAAAAGAGCAAAACATCACATGACGGACAAACAGACGATGGTTTTACACTGATGCCAAAATTTGCTGTTCCAACATCTGTTCCAGATGTGGGGTCAGAAACCCACATAAACAGAACCACCGTCCAGCTTGATTACACCAATGCAATGAGTAAGAAAATGAAACATTTCCAGAGAAAACATTGAAAATCAAAATAAACTTTGAATCACTTTTCAAAATTATTAAAGTTAACAGGTACAAACTGGTAAATACCTTACAGCAAGCATCCTTTGAACAAAACCCAGAATACCAAGCATTATCTTCATTACAACACATCATGATATAATACGTGACCTTTGAAAAATATGAATCAACCTTTCATAAGGTTAATGCGTGTTGCATCTGAACCAGATAGGATGAAGATTATACAGTTTAATTGTCATCCAATTAATTTCAACCTTGATACTGTAGCAAATATCAGTATTGCATTTGAAAACAAAGTCCCTTAGTTGAAGAGAAAGGCACTGCAATTATACAAAAGAGAACTGCATTGCACAGAAAGAACACTTTTCAAGATCAAAGGAATACTCTTAAAATAGACCAGGACTGTAGAACAGGTGTACACCATCTGAAACATTCACTTCTGAGCAATAAAGCATGCTTTGCTTTTTTTTAATCCTTTAGTAAGATGAATAACCTCAACCAGCTGAAAACTCAATTGCCAGTGATCAGCATAACTCTATTCAACAAGAGAAAGATGTAATAGATCTCAGAAGATTGTTCAGTAAACCAAAGAAAAAAAGTACACAGCTCAACATTAATAGTGTTGGTTCATGAACACTCTTCACCACTGAGGAATCAGAAGATACTACTATATTTTGCAAGTTTGAAGGAATTACTCAATTATTTTCTATTGCAGAAACATCTTCAAATCTGAACACTGGATTTCCCCTGGAGTTAATGATAGACTGTTGACAAAAACCAATTCAACAGTTTGGCAGAAGCAGTACAAAACCAGCCCAGTCAGCCTATTGTCTACAATTGAACCCAATAAAATAACAATATTATCCAAAAACATACGAGAAGGAATGAATGAATCACATGCAACCATACCTCACTAAAGCATCAAAAGGAAAAGACTATGTAATGGTTGCTTTTTTGGACTGTGGAGAGGGGAAAGGAGAAAGGGTACTGCTTTAAACTAAGGTAACTATGCGCGAAGATGCTTGCAGTTTTAAAATCAAGTTACTGGAGTGCATTATGAGTTGTACATGTGATGTTGCCTTATTTGAGCAGTAAAAGAGAATTCCACTCAAATCAGCACTGCCTATGTATGTTAGGGGCTGTTTTGTCCAGAGACAGTCTATTGATTGGCTTTTCAACCAGTGCCAGTTGTTGTTGGTTCAGAAGGGCTCAGAACAAATAACAAGTACTTCATTGGTTCCTGGGCAGGTGGTTATAATTTCTTGTGTCAACGATGCAGCAGAAACATCTTGGATGTTGGAAAAGAAAACATCTAAATCTTTCTCTCTTCTTTCTTTGTGGAGATGTTAAAAAACCACCCTAATATCTAGCCATTCTCCATCACCTTTCTCCATGAGCTGCTCTCTCTGCAAATCCCCTGTTCAAAGGAAATGGAGAAAACCATATTCAGAGGAACTGAAATGACAGAACCTCAACCAGTGACTGAAAGATTGAGGATCATTTTATCCACGACTTCAAGTAATCAGCAAAGACTTGGAAATAATGGAAAGGAGCAGAAAAAGAAATCTCATTGATGTCCATGATATGGAGATAGTAGGAACTGCAGTTGCTGAAGAGCCTGAGATAACAAGGTGTAGAACTGGATTAACACAGCAGGCCAAGCAGCATCAGAGGAGCAGGAATTTCTGAAGAAGGGTCTAGGCCCGAAACGTCAGCTTTCCTGTTCCTCTGATGCTGCTTGGCCTGCTGTGTTCATCCAGCTCTACACCTTGTTATCTCAGATGTCCATGATCTGGCTGGTACCAGAATGCACTTCTCATCTGAACTTATTTTTACCTTTCTCCACCCGTAATACTTGTATCCTGTCTTATTTCTGTGTTTTAATTTTCTGAAGAAGGGTCCCGATCCAAAACGTCAGCTTTCCTGTTCCTCTGATGCTGCCTAGCCTGCTGTGTTCCTCCAGTTCCACACTTTGTTATCTCTTATTTCTTTGTGTGTCTGTTTGTATGTGTATGGGAATTTTAGGAAAAGGATTAAGATATAGAGTTATAAGCTAGCGATTCGTGTTTCTTTTTTGCCATTGGTTCAAAACAGTTTGATAACAATAAGTAGAGACAACAAGGTG